TACGTGCAGGTCTTTTTGTTTTGTTTTTTGAGTAGATCATGGGGCTTTGAACTCAGGGCCTGGGCACTGTCTTTGAGCTCTTTTGCTCAAGGCTAGTGTTCTACTACGTTGAGCTACTATGCTATTTCTGATTTTCTAGTGGGTAACTGGAGAGTCTCATGATCCTTCCTGTCCACGCTGGCTTTGAACTGTAATCCTCAGATCTCAGCCTTCTGAGTATCTAGGATTACAGGGGTGAGCCATCAGTGCCTGGCTTACAAGCAGTTTTTAAAAGATGGGGAAATTGTGATTCAGAAAAGTAACTTGCCCCAGGTCACATACTCAATAGGGAAGTCTAGGTCTGTCTAACCCTCAAGTCCTTTCCCTTTCCACTACATCAAGTCATCTTCCTCACAGGGTTCTCTAGCCCCATCCTACAAAACTGACATGCTTTTAAAGAGAATTTGAAGAAATAGGTTCAGAACAATTCCTTTACACAGAGGCAGAGGACAGACAAAATATTTCCAGTCTCATCACTGAACATTTTTTTTTTTTTTTGGTCCAGTCATGGGGCCTGAACTCGGGGCCTGGGCACTGTCCCTCAGCTCTTCAGCTCAAGGCTAGCGCTTTACCACTTGAGCCACAGCGCCACTCCTGGCTTTTTTCTTTTTGCTTATTTGGTACTGAGGAATCGAACCCAGGGCCTCAGGCATGCAAGGCAAGCGCTCTACCACTGAGCCACCTTCCCAGCCCCCCTGAACATTTTTTTGTAGAACTATAGGATTTTCTTTGTTCTATAGTAGATCTCTAGATCATTTTTATCTTGGTGAACTGAAACCTTATATCCATGCGACACAGTCTCCCTTAGCCCTCTCCACCCCTTGGCAATCATCTTTCTACTTTCTGTTTCTGATCCTGACTACTTTTTCTCTGTGAATAGACTCGTACACCACTAGTCCTTTTGTAACTAGCTCTTTTCACGTAGTGCATCAAACCCTAGAATCACCCATGGTGTAGTACAGCATGTGAGAAGATCAGCTTCTTATATTTCACAGTCTTCTTGATACATCTCCTGCTTGCCTATGCCATAAAATGTAGGGCTTTGGTTTCTTTTCCATGCTAACCTCTTAGTGATCAAACATCAGATCTTAAATGTATGTCAGCTCCCATCCAGTACCCAACTCTGCTGAGAACAGGAAGAATACAGCTTGTGAGATTAGAGCCTATTCTGTTCCTGACTGCTCCCACACCTATTACAATGCCTGACATATAGAAAATGTACTGACACAGGGGCTGGGAAGGTGGCTCAGTGGTAGAGCGCTTGCCTTGCATGCCTTAGGCCCTGGGTTCGATTCCTCAGCACCACATAAGCAAAAAGAAAAAAAGCCGGAAGTGGCGCTGTGGCTCAAGCGGTAGAGCGCTAGCTCTGGGCTGAAGAGCTGAGGGACAGCGCCCAGGCCCAGAGTTCAGGCCCCATGACCGGACCCAAAAAAAAAAAAAAAAAAAGAAAATGTACTGACACAGTTTTAGAAAACATTAACATTGAGGACCAATTGAAAGTGAAAAGATGATTAGTCGGAGACTTGAATCTGCAGGAACACTTGTAAGAAATAAAGGAAGGGAGAAAAGCACGAGGAAAACAAATTGGAGCCTGATAATTGTGTTCTTAAGCATTACATACAACAGGGTACCGTTCTCTTTATGACTATTACTGAAGAGTAAGAAGACAAAGGGACAGGGTGATGTCCCAAAATGGCACAAATTTCCAGGATTTCCCACTTTTTGGTAGAATTCAAAGTTCTGACATACAGATTCACTAGACTGAAGGCTGAGCAGGCCAAGAGACCCATGCCCACAATACTTTGTCCTATCATAAAAGGTTATGGAGTGTGGTGGTCTTTTGTCAACTCCCCCTATCTTTAATATCGAGGAACAAATAAATCCAGGATGTGTGCATGAAAAAACAGAGATGGATAAAAATAATTCAATGACAAATGCTGGAAAAACATACAAAGGAGAGGAAGCCAGACATTCGTGGGATTCCCTGACAGCTCGATCCACAAGGAAGGGCTGGACTGGAAAAAAACAGGACCTCAGGTTCCTGCCAAGCTGTCTGAGGCCCTGTCCTTCCCAAACCATTCTAAGCAGCAGCCAAGACTTTACAGTAACCATTGCAGGTCTTACAAAGAAAAATGTTCTCTCCACCCATTCAGTGCTCCTCACCTAGAAAGTCGCCTCCCTTAAGCCCAGTTCCAGGGAAAGCTGGCAGTAATGAGGAGATGCTTTTGCACATCAACTTTCAGCTCCTAATGACTCCCTACATACCCAGAAAAGGGATGATTAAAAGGTGACTTAAAAAATTTAGCCTTTTTCATTGGCTAAAATGAAGTTGACATGGCCAGGTACCTACATCTAGAGATCCTAAACATGGTGTGAAGAAAAAGTAGATCATAAACATGTTGTTCTTGTATTCTAGAATCCCTGCTGTGTAATTCTAAGCCAGCCTTGCTTGGAGGCACACCTCAGGCTTCTACACATGTGACTGCATTTGGCCCTCACTACTCTCTCTTCTGGAGAATGGCCTGCAATTAATCTCACTTATTACCTCTGAAAAGTAACAACAGAGGAATGGCTGGCCAAGTTCAACTCTAGAGGGTCTAGGGAACTGCAAGCTGCATGGCCAGGCCTCAGATTGTCTGGGCAAGTCGTGGGCTCTTTGCCTTCTCTCCCACAACAAAGCCTGAGCAGGGTCTCCAGACAGACCAAAGAAACCAAGGGATTTGAGGAGCTGGGCTGAGCTCACATTGACCCAATGGGAGACTACAGCCCTGAGGCGAACATTTGGAGTGGTTTCCAACAGCGGGGGAAGAGAAAGGTTGTCTGGTAAAAACTTGTGTGATCCATAAAATTGAGAACAATAGCAGCACCATGGGGGAATGAAAAATAACACTATTTGCAGAGTTCTTGTGAGTCACCAGTTTTCATTCCTGTGGCTACCAAGTCACTGAATTCTCTGACACACAGATGAAAAGTACAGCCAGCAATGGGAGTCTCTACATCTTATGATAGTTTCCAGGGCAGCCTCTAGTTTAGTGAATTAGTAGAATTTATCAGTGCTAAAATCCACTGGCTGCTATTGTAGAAAAACTACTAAGAGTACCTTTGTTTACTCAGCCCCCACTTCTAGGGAGATCAAAGTCCTTCAAAGGCAATCTAAACACTCTCACAACAGGACAGTTTATATGTATGCTTACCTAAAAAATATTAAATGTATAACTAGAGTCATTTAGTGTCCAAATCACTAATAAAACTCATATCTTAGGGGAAACTGGGGTAAAGAAAGAAGAGATATTGTCCAAAGAAAGAAATGTACTCATTACCTGACTTATGAAAATGGCAGCCTCTTTGTACAATACTTAATACGAATTAAATTATATTTAAAAAGCAACAAAACAAACCATAATTGCCTATTTATTGATTTAACAGTATTAAGGTGTGAGTGAAATTATTTTTTAAAAAACCTCACATCTCTAAGTGTGAATCCCATATTCATTAAACTTAGCCACCCTTACTATATAGGACGACCAAGAAGAAAGAAAATAAATATCCAAAAAACAGTGATTTACCAGGTAAAAGTTGAAATCAGGACTCAGTACTGTGCCTTTAGCTATGGCCCCAACACAGCCAGGCCTGGAAGGACCTGAGAATCCACTTAGGGCTGTTCCAGTGTGGTGGCACCAGGAATTTCATGTGGAAATAAAACTCCTAAGCTGACCCTCCAGTTGTCCTAGCAATCAGAGGTTACCAGGAGGACCACTACAGACTTCCTAAGGCTTCCCTGGACTAGAATAGAATCTAACAACTGGGCCTTACTTAAAGAAGAGATAAAGGAGGAGGCTGCTGAGTATAGTTCAGTCAAGAAAATGACTAAAAGACTTCACAGGGGCTGTGTTTGGCTATGATGGCTCTGAAGAAAATGGTAAGAATGCTATTCCAATTCCACAATCTGCCTAAGGGAAAGTAATTCACACAACTCCAGGTTCCAGCTCTGACCCTGAAAAGCTCCATCATCCCCCATGATAGTACTCACAGGTAATACCAAAAGAAAGATTGACACTCAGCTATAATTTTTTTAAATTAAAGATTCCCCCCCCATTCCATGTGTAAGTATAAAATGATAAAACTACTCTCCAAAATGTATACTTCTTACATTTTAACAGTACAGAAAATGCCTGTGACTTTGTCAAACAAAATATCCAAATTTGTGGTGCAAACATTCTTTGTAAGAAAAAGACTCTGATTTTAACATGAAAATGGAATATTTGGAAACATTTACATGGAAAATAAAGCTCTATGGTATAAACAGAATTTCTTTTTTACGAGTTATGTTTCAGGAATGTGGTTACTCGGTAGATTATAAATCACTGAACAACAAACTTTTCCTGTGAGGAGAACTGTGTGTGGGGTGCCCTGTCTCAAAAAGTCCTGCTTATGTCTCCAACTCCTCACAGTTCTCAGCTGAGATGATTTCTTTTCATCCCAACCACACGATCATGGGTATGGAAGACATCAGACCAGAGCATGATGTAATATGTTTATGCTATGTTACTTCCTGGGAAGTTTCTGGTTCCTAAATTAGCTCCAGAGTAATAATAATAATAACCAACAGATATTTCAACAACAATTAGGTACTCCCTTCCAGCTCAGAGCAAAGAAATACAGAAGAGGCAGAAGCTGGAAGTACAGTACAGGGTAGGGATTCACTGGGACAGTACTTCTTTATTTGGAAGTAAAGGATTTCAGTGGTCAGAAGACCTCACTGTAAGAGTCACATTTTTTCAATAGCTCCTGTGACTCTGATGCCATTTGTACTAGTCACTAAAGCAAGGTGTCTTGGGAACCCCTTCCAGGCAAGCTGTCTGGCTTGGATCTCCATGTCAAATGCAAGGTGGGAATGGTTTGGTTGGGGTGAAAGTCATCCCTCTGCAACCAAAATGTTGGCGCCAAGGCCCTTCACGTACCTGCTTCCAATGGGGCTTGAAGGGTTCTCAAGAGCAAGAGGGTCTGTCTGCATCGACCACGTTGGCCCACTCGGACTGATGAGAGGTCGGAGGGTGGGGGGAGTTGAAGCACTGCTTCTATTTAAGACGGCACTTGCCAAATTCAGGTTTGCTACCTAGAAATAAAGTGAGAGAAATAACCTGATTTGAAAGAGTTTTAGAAAAGTTGTCATGAAAAACATATGGGAACAATCAAGTAAAATCCAAAAGATGCTGAATCATCTGAGCTGAAGGAGCAGTTGGAACCAACATGCACAGCGAAGGTTGGTTTGCACAAAAGTAGCAGTGAGCATGGGGAGCAATAAAGTTAACACACATACTATTCTGCTCCTACTCGGCAACCCAGAGAGGCTGTGCTAGGTGTGACTGAAAACAAAGATGGACAACAAAAACAACCAGGAAAACATCATTTACGCTGTGCCAGGTAATGTTTAAAGGATCTAGGCAAACTTCATTGCCCTCTTTACACTTGTTTCCTCATCATTACAAATAACAAAAATTATACAAAGAATTCAGTGAATTAGGTAGAAAAAAGGAGAGTCAACACAAAATGGGTATTGACTTCAAAAATAATTTACACAGAAGAAATAGGATTAATCTAATTAAACATTTCACACTAGTTATTTCCATTATTAAGAGTAAATTACAAAAAATAAATGCAAACTACCAGGAAGAAGAAGCTGTAGAAAACAATTTTCTTGTTACATTGCCAAACAGTAATAAGAAAGATAGCATACAATTTATAACTACTTGTGGATCTATAAATTGAGTCTTTCTAGAAGTCAAGAAAGATATGGCAGTATGTTGCTATTAAAGTATTATAATAACTCAAATGTTTTGATGCTATGGTCTGGCTTTTAGGAAGTTAGGTACGAAAGCTGCATGTGATTAATGATAGTGACAATGACAATAACAATATGTGTTAGAATTTATCACATGCCAAGTTCTGTGTGGACACAGTACTTTACACACATCTCATGTAAATGAACTTAAGTTTGATAGTAAGTAAAGTCACAATCCTCACTTTACAAAGAAAGAAACTGAGGTCAGGATTGCTTCAAGGTCCTGGGTTACTGACCAAGTTAGGATTTGAGCTACCATCTTTAGCTTTCAAAGCCTATATTCTTACATCACTCTATCATGATCAGACACTAACAAGCATTGTTTTCAATACTGAAAAAGAAGGTCTAACTAGCTAACAGTATTGTTTTAAATTTTCTTCTAAGAGAATACTATTTATCCACAAACATTTTTTGAAAAATTCTTAATGATATTAATACATTCTGATAACTTAAGAAAAAATCATTTTAGTAAAAAATCATACTGTGAAGGTAACTGTGAAGGTGAGTATATCTTAGAAGACTAGAAAGGCGTTGTAAAAAATAAATAACATCTATTGGTAAGCAGTGAGTTGTTTTCTTCCTCATACTTAACCTACAATCTCCATATTTTTATACTGGGTATATATTATTTTTACAATCCAAAAATTTTTTTAAGTTGTTAAGACAAATGTAGCTGTGAGGTGGAAAGTGTAAATCATGGGCAGCAGTAGTGGGTTAGAGAAGAAAGGATGGTTGGGAGAAGCATTTCTAAATATTCCATGGGAAATGCTAAAAAGAAGGAAGAGTCAAGGCTTAGCAAAGGTGGAGCATTAGCCACCAGCAGCAATTTAACTCATCAAACAGGAGATGGAAACTCCAAGAAATGATCTCCTATAAAATGGCTTAGCTATCTATAATTTGACATTTACAAATGAAATAATTTTAGATTTGTTTTAGATTTTAGGTTTTGGATTTTTTAGATTTTAAAACAACCTGCACATCCTGGAAAAAAAAATAGTGCACTTTTAGCAATAGTAGAGTGTTTCCTTCTTAGTTGTATTAGTCCATAGTGAAAATGGCCCACGCCTGCATCTTCACAGCAAAATACTTTTCTTGGAAGGAAAGCTGTTTTCCATAGGTCAGGGGTAGTCTCTGGCTGCTGTGGAGGCTAGGATGGGGACACTCTGGCTGTGCCCTGCCCTGCAGGGTGGACTCAGGCTTTAGTAGAAATCAAGCACAGATTCTTACTTCTGCTCCACTTTCTGCAATAGCAGAGTTGAAGGAGGCAAGTGCTGACAGGGAAGACCAGTTGAAAATTCAGTAACACCTTTCCTCCAGACTCTAGTTTCCTTACAATGTTTTTTGCCTTTCCTATACTCTAGAAGAAACATGTCAGGCACTGAGATGACACAGGCCCCCAGAGCACTGAATACTTTCCTACTCCACACTAATGCTCTCTTACCTGCCCTCCTCTTTCCTGACTTAAGATATCAGGCCTTTTAAATTAGATGTGATATTGCAACTTGTAAAAAACTACCAAGATAGTTAGGTCATTACAATAACCATTTTGCATAAGACTTAATAAAGGAGGCTTAATAATGATTAACATCAGAATAGCAATAGAAAAAAAATGATGTTTAGTATAAAGGGCATAATTTCAAAATCAGCATGTGAAAAGAAGAGAGTAATCTCCTACATTTTGGCAGGGTTAGCTCTAATATAAACATCTGTATTTACATCCTAACATTTAACAAGTATCCAACACTCACTATGTGCCATGTTCTAGGTATCCTTGAATATCTTGATTTACATTACCTAATTTAAGACTGAGAGATAGGTTCTGTTGTTATTCATCTCACCAAAGAGGAAACTGAAGGCTGGAGAAGCTAAACAACTAGGTAGAAGTCACACACTTAATGGCAAGGTCAAGACTAGAATAGAGTGTTAAACTCCAAGTACATGTATTATACCTTTTCCAAAAAATGTGGGTTAGCAGTTGGACCCTTAACAGTAGTGGTATCTGGCACTCTGGGTTTTATACTTCACGTACTCTTTGCCTATTACTCATGGAAGGAGACATTTAACACCTCATCTTGTGGATGAGAAGTTATTACTCAAAATAATTTACTTGAGACCGTATAACAGTTGTACAATTTGTGCTCTTGTAAAATCCAATTAAAAACATTACTATTAAGGTTTCTTTCTTAAAAATGTCATCAGATACAGAGCTCAAATTCTGAAAACAATATTAGCCTTTCTCTTTCTCTCCCTCTCTTTCTTTTTTTCTTTTTGCCAAGCCTAGGGCTTGAACTCTGGGCCTCTGCACTGTCCCTGAACTCCTTTTGCTCAAAGTTAGTGCTCTACCACTTGAGCCACAGTGCCACTTCTGTTTTTTGAGGTTTGTGTGTGTGTGTGTGTGTGTGTGTGATTAATTGGAGATAAGTGTCTCACGGACTTTTCTACCTAGCCTGGCTTTGAACCGTGATCCTCAGATCTCAGTTTCCGGAGTAGCTAGGATTATAGGCATGAGCCACCAGCACCTAGCTTCTTTCCCTTATATTTTATTTCCTATTTTTTTTAATCCATCCTGAGAGGACATTATAGAAGTAAAACAAAAAAGGTACTCTCAGTTCTGTTGCAGAGAAGTAGAGTGGAAAGTGGCATGAATGTGTAGTTAAGTTTGGACTACTAGGTTGTGTGTAATATTCAGTCTCATTCAATGGGTAAACTAGTAACTGGCAGTCATTGTAACTTCTTTCTGTACAAAAACAAGGCATTCTAGATGATTTATTCTGAGATATAGGAAAAGTGACTACTTAAATGAGAGGCTATATAAGGAATGAAAACCTTATAGACTTCTCATCTTTCTCTCCAAAGCATTTCCTGCTGAAAACAACTGTAACAACTTGTTGCTCTGTTTCCCCATAGAGCACCACCCCTGTGGTTTATCTGGAAAAGTCAGCAGGTTTCTCAGACCTGCAATGCTAACTGAACCGTCTGGGGCTAGCCAGAATGTGAACTCAGTATCTTCTATATACAGTTTTCCAAGCAGCCAGTGCTAACCAATCAGAACAGCAAGGGAAGTGAACGGATTTTCTATCGCTGCTCTATCTAACAGAATGTTCGCTGGTGATGAGCATATTCTATATTTTGTACTATCCAAAATAGTAGCCACTAGCCACATGTGGCTATTGTATATTGAACTGTGGTTGGTGTGGCTGAAAAACTGGATTTTAAACTTGAATTTAAAATATCATACATATCTAGTAGCTACTTTAGTAGACAACATATCTCTAGAGCCTTTAGATTTGTACTGGGTAGTTTACTCCATACAAATTATTTGGAGAATGGGCAGGAGGAATCACTGAATCACATCAAGTTTGGCTTTAGTACTACCTTGTTTTGTTCAGGGAAGGCCTAGAAGCAAAGCAGAAACCCCCAGCACTGGGTCAGCTCTTAAAAACTCTACATTCCAATCAGGTCTGCCTAATGGTTTCTTCCCTAACAGGACGGAGGGATGACAAATAAGGATGTCATCATGCTATATCTGCTTTTCTGGCCATCTACATTTTTCTAGGCAACACAACACAATCAAATTCTATCAGATGAAGATGAAGTGGTAAAGAGCACTTGGTGATATGCAACCACAATAAACACTTCACTGCTAGTTTTTCTTTTCTTTTCTTGACTAGTGCTCTACCTCTTAAGCCACAGCTCCACTTCTGGCTTTTTGGTGGTTACAGATAAGAAACTCAGAGTTCCAGCTGGCTTTGAACTACAATCCTCAGATCTCAGCTTCCTGAGTAGCTAGGATTATAGGCGTGAGCCACTGGCACTGGCATTGAAATTTTTTAAAAGGACAATTATACATACATGAAATGATTACACTAGTCACAAAATCAGTGCCTCATCAGGAAAAGTTATAGTCACTGGGCCAATCGGCTTCCTTGGGCTAATAACTGAACATATGTTACTTAACCAAATCACAGAATCATGCCATTGGTCACAAAGGGATCTGAGAGACAGAAAGATAGGTTAAAAATCTCTTAATGCCGATCGCCAGTGGCTCATGCCTGTAATCCTAGCTACTCAGGAGGCTGAGATCTGAGGATCACGGTTCAAAGCCAGCCCGGGCAGGAAAGTCCGTGAGACTCTTTTTTTTTTATTTTGGCGGGGGGTCTGGTCGTGGGGCCTGAACTCTGGGCCTGGGTGCTGTCCCTCAGCTCTTCAGCTCAAGGCTAGCGCTCTACCACTGAGCCACCTTCCCAGTCCTCTGTGAGACTCTTATCTCCAAT